GGCATCATGGACTTTTTTGAAGATATACTCTGTACCATCTTTTACGAGAAGAAATCCAGGGCTACAGTGATAAATGCTTGGTGACAAATGTTTAATTACATAAATAACATAAATTGTGGTCTGATACTCTGCCCTTCTGAAACTCTGGCACAGCTTCATAGTGATAGAAAAGGGCTGCCAGCCCATTCATGGGCTTCTGCTCTCCCTGGCCAAACAAACATTCTCCCTTTCCAGAACAGCTTCTCTTCCAGGGACAGAGGGGAAAGCACCAGTGAGCAGGATTTCCTCCAGTTCTGCCATCTTGATCCAAATTAAAATTACAGTTTAGAGGACAGCCTCTGATTGTCTCTTAATAGACTAGAATAGATTTATCTGTGATTATATTTACTGTGCTTTGAAGGAGATTTATATATGGTTTCTGCTATGAAAAAGTGTTTTGGAAAATGTGTAAAATATCATAGCCTGTGAGACAAGCAAATCCTTTTCTCCTTCTACAGCACCAGTGACTTCCAGCCAAGTTAATACCCTATTGCATATGTCTGCAGTAAATCTTCACCTTCTTCAACACCTCCACATGATTTGCTGTCTCTGGGTGTACTGACACCTTTTCTCATGTGAGAACTTTATGGCTTGATAACCATAAAGGGACAGCTGGCTCAGCACAGTGGTTACTACTTACTCTCACCTCCTAGTTAGTAGAAACATAAATATATAGACAAGCATGTACAGTTCTCACTTGTAAACTGAAATGTGGGAAATGTTTCCTTATGTATAAGCTTATTACTTTGGGGATACGTGTCTTATATCAGCAGTGGCTTTGTATGTCCTGTTGTAATAAAATAGCTATTAACAATGAGCTCAGTCTGAACACTCCTGAACTCTGAAAGAGGCTAGATGTCACCTTCAACCTGAACCAATGAGTCAGGCCTATTTCCAGCTTCATTTGCCTCTGTGCATGCTGTACAGAAAAATCAAAGGCACAGGTAGATATTATTTAGAAAAAGCACCTAAACTGCCTGCCTTGAAAGTACTTTTCTGGTTGCTTTTATTTATAGATGAGGGAAAGATCAAGGCGTTAAAAAATTCTCTTCATTTTTCCCTTCTCCTTTGTCAGTGATGTGCTGATGATGTTTATTTTTGGATGTGATGTGTTAAGAGCCCTATTGGTGTGGGGCTGGGATTCCCTGCAATTTCCTGTCTGCAGGAGCAGCAAGCGTCTCATACTTTACAAACCAGGCAGACCTGCAAGGACAGTGACTAATTACCTTCATTTATCATGCTTCCAGGCACCCTTTCAGGTAATCTGATTGGAATCTCCTACTTGTCAGTGGCTCAGGAGTCATCAGTTCACAGGACAACCACAGAAAATTACTGAGGTTTTGGTATCCATTATTGCTCTGGATGTTAAGACACTTAATTACTATAACACAGAGGGAATAAACTGCTTATGTGTCAATTGTTAATAGAACATAAGTCTTTAGCATTGCCTTTAGAAATCCTAAATTCAACAATAATTTCAGCTTTGTGGTTCCTGTTCCCTCATGTCACTGGGATGGGAAAGAATAGACACTACAGGAGAATTTTTTCCAGGTTGCCGGGAAAGGATAAGAGAGGAAACAAGAGCACCAGCATGTCTGACCTGGGCAACCTGTTGCTTTTGCACTACTTTCTTTGAGCTTCCCAGCATCACTAAGGCATCCCGTGTATGACCTTTCCCACAGGGGAAGAGGAGGGGACCAGACACTGCCTCTTGTGAATGAGTTGCTGCCAGAGCTTTTTATTCCCACACATTGCTGAAGCGAGGTCCTGGCCACAAGGAAGGTGTTTAGTAGGGCCATAAAAATTGCCCTTCCTCTCCTGTGGTGAGGAAAATCACATGCAGAGGAGGGAGACAGTGGCTGGAGAGCATCCACTATGGCTTCCTTGGCATAAGAAAGGCTTTTCACTTGCTTTCAGCTCACTGAAATCTGGAGAATCTTTTAGAAAAAAAAAAAGAGTTGGCAATAATGAGATGGAATACCTAGAAGTGGCAGCTGCCTTGTTTCTCAGAAGTCAGAAATCCCACCACCTCTATCTGCAACTGCAAAGACATCCCATAGTACGATGACAAAAAACTGTCTTTGCTTGACAGTTTCTATGATAAAAATTCCTGGCCTGTCTTGACATTGTTTTGAGAAGTTTCTCAAAGATTACTTTTTTCTGCCAAATTAGTGGTACCTCTCAAAGCTCTTGCCAGCATATTTTCTCTTCAGTTCAATATCTGAAAAATATTCTTCTTCACTTTCACACAGTGCTTTATTGAATTTTCCCCAATTCATGGGGTGTGCCTTAAGTTCTGTAATAAGAAATGCCCAATTATTTCACTAAAATTTTAAGCCTCATGCTCCTCCCTTGTTAAAAGCCACAATGCTCTACCCAGACCCATGGACTCCTTAGTAGTTTTTTTCCCCTAACTGAATGAAACATTACCTTGCAATTCCAAACACTTAAGAAACATGTTTATGCACTTTATGAGAGACTAGATTCACTTGTGCAGGAGACACCTCCCCTTCCTCTGCTCCTAAGACCTTTGTTACAATTTTCAAAATTTACCCAAGACAGGAGTTAATCTTCAGTTAGGGAGAGTTGCATTTTATTGTGCTCATTGTCTATACCATTTATCAGAATTTTTCCTCTTGAAATCCCATATATTGGGCAAAAAAATCTTATTCATGGAAAGATGCCAGTCTTCAGACATGAGAATGAAACAGGACAAAATATTTTTTCCTAATTTCAATATTCCACAAGAGAAAAAATCTCAATAAAATTAATTATTGTTTAGACAGAGATTTTATTTTCCTATATGGTAAATTCTTGGAATGGAAAATGTTGAATTGGCCCATTGACTTAAGATCCAAAATTTCCTTCATTTAATGCTCTACAGCTCTGCTAAATGTATTTTCAGCCAGATCAGTAGCAGTGAAAGTCTCTGGTTTTGCTAGTCATATGCTGTATGGTATTCTGTTACCTCAATGATATATTTTGAATCCCACACACATCCATTACTGTACACTGGGCAAGCACTTTCCTTTTGGCTATGCTCGCTTAGATATTTCCTTACACTTGACTGATATCCTCAAATACTTACTCTGTTTGTTAAATACATATATATAATTTAATAATACATTCCAAGAATGATTGCTTAAAACATCAGGTACTTGGAAATTTTGCAGAGCAAAGCCAGTGCATACTTGTACACATTTCATGATCATTTGCCAACATATATTCTATTTTCCTTGACCCATTCCTTGCTTTTACAGCTTAAAGCAGAGCTTTCCTGAAATAACACTTTCTTTTTAGGATCACCTCATATTTTGGAATGTAATCATTTGAACTACTGCAGAGTTCTGCACCTACAATCAGAACATGAGTCCAGTCAAGTATCAGAGCTCATCATTGTCTCCCAAACTCTGGGTCTTACACTTTGCAGATTTTCCATTCATTGAGTGGTTAGGAAGTGTTATTGTCAATACAATCCAACATTCTCTTGCAATTATTCTAATGTAATGCAGTTTATATTAAGACTTTACAGTTCCTAAGCTTTTATATAGGAAAGAAAAATTGCAGCATCATTCACACTACTGATACACCTCAGAATGCTGACAGGAACGTAACATCAATAGAAACCAATGAAAAAATTCAGAGTGAGAAAGCATATGGTGTGTAATTAATTCTACAATTAATTTAGAGAGATATTTTACTATGATCTGTTCTGCTTTCTCTTCAATACAGACGCAACTCCTAAAAAAACTTGAAGTGAGATGATCAGTAACAAGGAAAAATAATTAATGTACAACATGAGACTGTAGTAAAAGACTTTTCCAAACCTATGTTTTACCTAACTTAATGAACTTTCCTTGAATGTCACTAGTATTTGTACAGTCTCTGAACTGTACATTTATAATAGTCTGCAGTAAGGAACAGAAAGTAGAAGGCTTTTTGCGTGATTTTACGGACTAGTCAAAGTTTCATTGGTTTTAAAAGGCACTCAGATCCTGCTAACCTCCCTGCCATTCCAGAAACTGTCCCATAAAATTGTGTGACATCTCACGCACAGTGTTATCCCCCAGTCGCATCAAGGAAGGTTTATACTGGATATTAGGAAACATTAATTCACTGAAAGAGTTATCAAGTGTTGGAACAGGCTGCCCAGGAAAGTGGTGGCTTCATCATCCCTGGAAGTATTTAATAGATGTGGAGATGTGGAGCATGGGGTTGTGGTTTGTTGGTGGACTTGGCAGTGCTGGGTTAATGGTTGGAGTTGATTATCTTAAGGGTTTTTTCCAATGGAAGTTATTATATTATCCTATGTTCAGTGGGGTAACAGGTCTTTTACTTATCTGGCTATGCAGGAAAGTTCAGCTCTGGAAGGAGAGATGCCTTAAAACTGAATCACTACTTCTGCTTATAGACATGATTCTTAAAGTGAATACATTTAGTCTGATTCCAGAGTCTTAACAGGCAGAAAGGGAAGGCGAACTCATGGCTTTCACGTAAGAAAATGCTTGTAGTACTGCTATTCAGGGCTTGGGCGGAGGCCAAGGGGGCAAGGCTGGGGTTTTATTTATGTTTTTGTAACAGAGGCCAAGGGCAATTTTCCCTAAGGATGCCCAGCAAGAAGAATTGTGTCTATTTCAGCTGGGATGACCCAGATGGGTGCTACATTTTGTTTTCCTGGCAAGAAACAGTGATAGCTCATCACATCTACTGCCCCAGGAAAAGTAAGAAGCACATGTTGGGAAGGCGGAAGGCAGCATGTGCCCCTGTCTGGGATGCAGCCTGAGAATCCCACTCAGGGACCACTAACTGTGCAGCTCTGGCAGGCAGCAAGGTAAAATATCCTGGAGACACAGACAGTCACTGACAGTTTGGTTTAGATTCATCTGTTTGGATGACCCAGCCCTGGCCCCCACCACCTTCCTCCCACCCCTGCTCTGCCTCAGTTTCCCTCTGTGGCGCAGGGGGTGGTTCCGGGTGGGGGCTGGAGGTACCAGCGGTGCCTGTGCACACACCCACAGAGCCTGGAAAAATAAAGGAGCTTTACTCTGCTCTATGAACCTTGCTGGCCCCATGAGCCCCAGCTTGGTGTGGGGTCTAGCTGATGATTTCAGAGAGCAGCGGCGTCATTGAGGAGAGGTCCTGGATGTGGAGGATTTGCCGCGTGTTCTCCACCTTCAGTGTCTGCAGCTCTGTCAGCAGCAGCAGCAGCTTGGCATAGAGGAACCTGGGACAGGGGGAAGTGCCTGGCTGGGACACAGTGGCCATCCCCATGGCAGAGGGGACCACAGCCATGCCACCACCCCCCTGGCACCCACCGGCCCTCAGGCATGGCATGCTGGTGGTCAATGTAGCTCTTGAGGGTCAGGGCCACCTTCTCCTGGAACTGGTCGATGAATTCATGCTGGGTGATGCTGGCGTGGTCTGGGGGCACAGGGTGGGTGTCAGCAGGGCCGAGGGGACCCCCCACTGCTGCCTCCACTGTCCCTACCTGGCGAGAAGAGAAGCATGGCCTGGAGCAGGACGTACTCGGCTTCGTGCAGCTGCAGCTTCTTCAGGCTGATGTGGAACTTGAGCAGTGGCTCCAGGTAGATCTGCTGGAAACCAGCTGGGAGGAGCAGGGTGGTGACGGGCCTGCTGGGATGGGGACAGGGCTGTCCCCAACTGCCCGGTGCCACTGTCCCCCTCCTCACCCAGCGCTCCATCCTGGATGGTGTAGCAGTGCTGCCCGCACTCCCAGGCGTTGGTCTCCGCATTGAAGACGGTGTTGAACTGGACCTGGCAGATCTCTAGGGTGGCCCCTTTCAGCAGTGAGATCTGGTCATCTATGGGCAGGCTCCTGTGAGAGGGTGAGGGGGGTGTCAGGGCAGGGATGGTGTTGGGGGGCTCCTGCCTGTGTCCCCCCTGCAGACCTGAAAGCAGGGATCTCCTTGGCAAAGTTGATGACTTGCTGGATCATGAAGGTGCTGAGGTCAGCAAAGTGGGGCAGCATGGAGAAGACGCCGGGCAGCACGTCCTCGCCTGGGCAGTCGGGCTGCAGGGACGGCGGCGCC